ATATATATATATATATTGTATTAAAAAGTAAATAAGTAAATTCTCATTGCAGGCAGGCCCACCATAAATCAATAAATGAATAAACAAAAATTAAGTGGATTAGTTTCACATTTCTATGTTAAAATTAAACATAATTATCAAAATGAAACACATAAATAAAATAAAGAAATAAATCTACATATTAAAACAGTAAAATGAAAAGAAAAAAACATTTTAACTTGAAAAAATATATATTAAAAAAAATTGGCAAATCAGACTGTAAATTTTGCAAATAATGTGATCTCTAATGGGGATTGAATACTTATTGAGACCTTAACCAAACATTTAATGTCTGCTTTAGAAGGGGTGGAAAAAAAGAGATCAGCTAATCTTTTAATCATTTAGTGTCTTTGTTGTCGTACCAGCGTCAGCAGGCAGATGATGCTGATGTTGAAGCTGACATTCTGAAGCTCGGCCACCAGAGGTGCGGGGTCCATCAGCGGGATGGTCAGCAGCCAGGCTGAGACGTACATGATGGGCGCCGAGAGGAAAGTGCTGATGACCATGCCGGACGTCACCTAAACAGGAACGACACAAATGGAATGTTTAAAAATGCAAACGAAATGCGAAAAAGTTTCACAATTAAATATAGTATTACAAAAAAAAAAAAAGTAGTGTCTTTTAGAATGCTAATAGGTCACATGCAATATCTGCAAGTCTGGAATCAGTCTCAACCTTAATCTTCAAGTTCCATGCGAATTTTTTAGTGACGGATTACCAAGAGTGACTGAGTCAAGTCATGTGACTCAAGTCCCGTAACTCTTGCTCTCAGCGACTCACCACCTCCAGCTCCATCCCGTAGTGTCCAGCGTAGATGGCCACACTTGGCGCAGTCGGGAAGACACCGTAGAGGAAGGCAAAGTTTGACAGGCTCGTGTGGTTGGCGCTGGTGCTGTTGACGCCCACGTCCAGAATGTCCATCATGTCTTTGCAGAACAGCGGCATCAACAGACTGAGGGGGACAAACTGAAGAGCTCAAAACCCAAAAGCCGGCATGCGCCAGAAAAGAAAAAAAAGTGGGATTGGCGCGGTCTGGTTTTGAGATGTAATTTTGTCAAAAGCTCCCTTGAGAGATCAATTTAAAAAGTCTAATTAGCATCCCAATTGATAAATACATATTAACTTTGAATAGCCTTAATAAAAATGATTAGCTTTAACCTGGAAACAGAATTATAAAAGTTAATTTTGGAGATGTGTGATTTTGACCCCACTTTCAAATTATTTATTTTGTTATTATTATTTAATCAAATAAAGTGTAGGGATAAATGTGATATTAGTGGTGTCAATTTTGTGTAATTTAGATTTGGATTTTTTTTTTCCAAATAAAAGATGACTTGATCAAATTAAATTACCGATGTAGAGATGAATATGGTATTGGTAGTGTAATGTCTCATCCAATTTAAATTTTTATTCAAATTAAAAAGAAATATTACAATTTTTAGTTAAATAAATTGAGTGAAATATATTGGACATGTCATTTTTCATTCTTATTTAAATAAAATAATTTAAAATGTTATTAATGCACATATATGATATCGGTCCCGTAAGTTTTAATGGAAATGTGATTTGTTTTTTTTTGGGGGGGGGGGCATTTTTTTTTATTTGATCATTTTAACTCAATAAGTAAATCAATCTGATATTGATGCTGTAAATATTTATGTAATTTATATTTGGAATTATTGTAGATCTGTTTTTAAAAATAAAGTAAATTAAACTTTTGAATATGTTGAGATAAACATAATATTGGTGAGAATTATGTATTGTAAATACAATTTGACGAGCTCACTGAAATGGAAAGAATTGGAAGCATAAAAGCACATCATAATGCTGGATGCTCTCCTCATCTTTCGATATTTGCCAACCACTCTAGATTTGTTTTTTTTTTTAAATATATAAATTGCCACTCACAGTTTTGCAGTGATAAGGAGAATCAACGCGACGCCGGCGTCACGCGTCAATTTCCTCAGTTGTCCAACCTGTAACACAAATATGAAGCCCTCTCAGTCATGTCCTCCTAGAAAATGCTTTGTACGAAAATGAGTATGAACCGACCATGGTGAGGCCCAGGTAGAACAAAGCGGCACCTCCGAAAGAGTTGGCTAGGCCATTGATGAACTGGGACAGCACGTCGGGGATCCTCTGGCCCAGAGCAAAATGCGAGACGATGCCCATGACCACCATGAACACGATTGGGTTCTTTAACACCTGGAGAAGAAAGTTTGAGAGTTTTAATCCTTTAATGGATAATACGTGGAACTAAATTTAAACCTCTGGTAGGCATCTCTATTTACAGCAGACCCACAAAAAAAAAAAGTCTCACGTTTGAAAACAACAAACCCTACAGTTTTGGTTTTAAGGGTCACTTTAGGCCATTTACAGGGGCCCTTCATAAAAAAGTCTTCTACTGGAATATTTTGAAAATTCAGCCTTTAATGCCATGTTTATCATCAGTGGACCCAAAAAAGTGCCATACCTGAAAAGACAAATTTTTCAGTGACCGTTTTAGGCTTCTTTAAGTCATTTCAATGGGTCCTTCCAAAAAAATATCTCTGAGTGGAATAATTTTGAAAATTCAGGCCTTGATTCCAGTCTCACGTCGCAGCATGAAATTTGGTAGGTTTGTCTATCATAAGTAGACCCATTAAAAAAAGTCCAGAAAGTTATGCCGGAAAATTTTGGTTTAAAGTCACCATTTTAGTCTCGTTTTGTGTATTTCCATCATCCTTCAACACGAACATTGTTTATCACACAGGAAAATTCATCCCTTCAAGACAGTTTCGTCTAGCAACATAAATTTGGTAGGTATGTTTGTTAAGAAAAGACCCATAAAAAAGTATCAAAAGGCCCTGCACAAAAATACTCAGGAAATCTGCCATTCGGTTTTAAAGAAGTCATTTTAGGCACCTTTCAGATAATTTCCAAGGGTCTTTCAAGGGTTTAATTGCTACCAAATTTGGACCGTGTTTTAAAGACAAATGGGCAATGCTAAATTGTGGCACTCTCTTGCCTATGTCATTTAGTGTAGGTGCGTCATTACGACAAAGATTTTGATGATTCTTTTGACGATTTGGCATCGATCAAGACCGACAGCGATGTAGTACCTGTAGAGTGACAACACCCAACACTCTGGCCGTGCTTCGCTCCACATGGGGGTCGGTCCGCCTCCTCCATCTCTGCACCTCGCATAGGGCAAAGCCGATGGGATTGAGCAGCATGAGCGACACGGGGGCCACCAAGTAGATGTACTGCAGGTACTCCGGGTATGTGCTCCGATACAAAGCATCCACTGGAGAAAGACAACTTCTAAGTAGGAACTCGAGTACTACACATGTGTTTGTGCGGGACCTCACCTATGGGATAGCCCAAGGCAAAGTCGTTGCTTTGTGTGGCAAAGATGGCGTACAGTCCGGCTTTGCCGTACCTGTTTTCCGGACTGGCAACCATCAGCGTGAGAACACACACCAGGGTGAACACAGCCACCTACACACAAAAAGTTTTTTTCAATGTTGATTATCAATTTACTATACAAAGATCTCATGATGCATCACAGTATAAGACCATAATAATATTTCTTGTTTTATGCAGATGATGGAGAATATATGCCTGTGGGTAGTGTGATATGCTCTGCCTGACTGTCAGCTGGAGTCCTTGGGAGTGCTTTCATTTTGTATTTGTGTCAGTGTGTGACTGTCTCGTTCAAGAAGCGGCTAACATGAGTGCATCGGCAACTGTGGCTTCCCTTGCCCATATGCGAGGGCATTCCAGTACCTTAACTGATTCACTTTACTCCAGAGTAGAAGCTGACCTTGGCAACCAAGATGCTCCACAGGAAGGACCAGATGACGTCGCCAAACTCCAACAGCACCATATTTTTGAACAGCAGAGCCGGGAGGGCAAATTTCGACACAAAGTTGCCCAGACCCTTTGCTTGGTTTTCGGTGATCACATCAGCCCTGTGTGCAGGGCAACAAACCCTCAGATGACACATTCAGTTCTTATTCCTCAAGTTTTTATTTTTATTTCAGACCACGAATCAATATTTACTTATTGTGGAAAATTCTGGCCACCCCGGATTGCATTGTTTCTTCAGGTATAATGGACTCGTTAAATTGTCCAAGCATAAAAGAATTGTATTATTACAAAAGAAAATGTTTTTTGTTGTTTATTTGAACGAATCCAGTCATTTATTTTGCTTCTGAAATTACAGTGTTATGAGTAGTTCGCAAATGTTACCTGCCAGCTATGTATCCACACAGGATAATGCCAAAGCACTCGAGCAGGGCAGGGAACAGTTTATCGATGGACATATGAGGCCCGGCACCAGCGCCACCACCAGGGATCGTCAGGGAGCCATGAGAGATGTTCTTCCCGTGGATGACCACATATCTGCCGCCTGTCTCCATAGTGACGGCCGGAGCTGCCTTAGGAGGGAGTTGAACACCCTGGAGAGATGAACGAGGCGAACATAACGGTGAGCTTGGTTCTCGGTATGTTAGCACACGAGTCGTTTCAGTCACTGGTAGGACATAAATGAGAGCCCAAAACGTGTGTTGCCAAACTAAACGCATTACTTATAAATTAATTAAAACGTTTTAAACGGAACTACATGAACAGATATTTTAGCCTCATTAGCTGCTGTATGCTAAAAACATCAGGGCACGTCAGACCATACCGACGTCCACAGCGTTGATTTATCTCTATTTTAAGTAGTTGGCACAACATAATACCCACAAATATTTCAGTTTCTGGGTTATAAAGCTTACCCTTGTTATCTAAATCACCATCTTCTCCGTGAAATGTCTTGCTCGTTGTGAAGGTTCACTGTATTTCCTTCGGGAGAACAGCAGTAGGGTATTTCTGAATCTGACAGCTGGAAGTGACTGACAGGCGACTGGTCCAATCGGCCGTGAAAGGCGAATCCGCATCCCTCTTCGATTGGATGGAGGCGAGGTAAGGGCGTGGCGTGAGGTGACCGTGGATCATGTGACATTGTCGATCGACAGACAAAAATAACGGAGTAATAGTACATGGTGAATGGTGCTTTCAAACGTCATCGGTCTTTTTGGTTTCAGCAATGTTGGTGACTCATTCATGCCAGATAAGCACGCGATTGATGATGGAATATGGTGCTTTTTTTGTAAGCGACGTTTTCAATTAAAACTATTTCAATCAATTAATTTTCTTTTTAACCGTGATAGATCTATGAATGGTGTTTTTCCACACGTTATCTGACTTTAAGTTCAATTTTTAATGGATAACTGTGTGATAGATTGATAGGTCAAATGTAAGCCGTTTCAATCAGGTTTTTGTAGAAAACCGTGTGCCAGAGAATGAATGGCGCTTTCACAAGGTGTGATTTTTCAGTTTCAAATCAAGTTTTTGTGGTGTAGTGTTATAATCATGAGTTGCTTTCAAATCTTTTTTCTTGTTCCAATCAGGTTATCATTGATGAAATGATAACCTGATTATAGTGAATGATGCTTTCAAACACAACCAGACTTAACAGTTTCAGCATGATTTTCATGTTTAACTGTAAAATTGATTGATAGATTGGTTGCAATACAAATCAGGCATTAACCAAAGTAAAGCACAAACATATCGGCTCCTTTTATTTACTGATGTCAACTTCTGACTGTCTTTAATCCCCCACTGTATTATTACTGGATGTGAAAAAGCAGGGGTCTCCAAATCCAGTCCTCGAGGGCCACTGCCCTACAACATGTTTTAGATGTTTCCCTCCTCCGACACACCCGATTCAAATGATCAGCTCTTCAGCAAAGTCCGTAGAAGCCTGATCCTGGTCATTTCAATCAGATGTCTTGGTGGAGGGGAACATAAAACATGCAGGGTGGTGGCCCTCAAGGACCATACTTTGACACCCATGTTGTAAAGAAACAAAACAACACTTAATAATACTGCACAGTTTCGGTAAGAACAACTTTACGACTCTCGTTAACCATACAAAAAGAAACAGGTCGTTCATTATCGAACATGGCGCCTTCAAACAAAGAAAAATCAGTGCTGTTGTTGCAGCCGAGCGCAATATCATCCAAGTCGTGGATGGGAATTAAAGAGTGTGTGCTCCAGTGAAAATGGAGGGTAAAAAAAAAAAGTACCATTCAGAAATGCAAAGACATACGAATAAGTAAACATACTGAAAAGGCACACGTGGCTGTTGGTGAAATTGGACATTGCATTTGTCCCGATGCAGCAGCGGTTGCAGGGCCATTCAGACTCATTCCCACTTTTTAGAGGTGGGCACTCGAGCAAACATTATTTTATCTAAGGCACTAATGGGAATGAACCCCTGGCTTTCTCTTTGAGGCACAAAACTTTAAATATTCGTACCCTTATAAGAAAAAAAAAATCCCCTGAGGAAGCTGATTGATGTGACATTCATTTTGTGCTCACTAATGGCCTCAGGATACAAAACTCATGCAAGGGTGGAGTTTGTGAGGGATAATTAAATGTGAGAATCTTGTGGAAGTGGAACACGTTATGACTGGTGGCTAAAACTTCTCCAATGAAACATTTAACATTTATTATTGTTTTAACACTGTTCCTCAGGTCCGCTTGGCAAGTCTTCTTCACCTTGGTATTGGAGGAAGAGGAGGAGCCCCTCTTTCCTTTTTACCTGAACCTGCAAAAAAGAAAATAACTTTAAACAGAGTTGTTTAGTAATCAAAAAGTGGTCAATTTAAAAGACGTACGTCAATTTTTTTTGTGGAAAAAAGATTTTGACAGTAACGCTAACACAGCTTCCGACGCTGTGAGCTAACCCGGGAAGCTTATGTTGGAGGGAAAGTTGGAAGCTAATGTTGATGCTAATTTTGGAAGCTATAATTTATATTAGATTACCTGCAAAGTATTATTAAAGGTAACATACAAACATCAGAGCTAATTTTAGAGGTTGGAGTTGAGATTTCTATTGGAAGCATTGGAGGCAAGGTTGGAAGCTAATGAAGATGCTAATGTTGGATGCTAAGAATGGAAAATAATATAACAAGCCAACAATGAAACTATGATTCAAGGTAACATTGAAGCTAACATTAAATGCTAGCATAGGTAACGGCGAAGCTAACATTGTAAAGTAATGTTAGGGTTAACAAGCTTCTCTTTTTTTTTTTTCTCAGCACAAGAAGCTTTCTACCCAATGAGAAAAATGTCGTCCTTTTACCAGAATAAAGCTGATATACTTGGAGAATGAAGTAGTGTAGTAGTGTTTTCATATTGTGTCATAATTTGAATAAAACCTTATGACATCAAAGTTGCGAATTTCCCAGACTAGAGGACTGAAGTTACCTTGATGAAGCATGAACTATTATGGTACAAAAAAAATATATATTTTTTTCCTCCTAAAATTGGTTAGTTAAAAAATATTTAAGTATTTATTTTGGGTAATAAATTGATTTATTGTGAATAATAAAATAAGAATATTTCACAAATACATTAACACTTTCTTTACACTGCCAACATGTCATGCTGGGTTGAAGTCACAATGCATACTGTTGGACCGACCTCTGCCTTCGTTCTTGCTGATCTTGCTGGGGTACGTCTTGTGAAAGTGCTGATAGGGCTCGGGTGGAGGCAGGTCTGAGACAGGGTGGAAAGTGAACCGACCCTCCCAATCATCTGCGAGAATGGGGAAAATCCCATTAATTTTATCGAACAGTGGGACAAGCTAAAAGCCGTAACAGCAACATTAACAGTTACTCTGAGTACTCACCATGTATCTGGTTGTGGTGCGAGTTCTGGAAGCCGTTGCCCATGGGTGGTGGCGGTGGCGGGGGGGCACCGCCCCCACCTGTTCCCGGTCTGTCCGGAGGTAGAGGTGGCCTACCTCCGGGCCCGCCCCGCGAGTTATCCGACCCCGACCGCCCGATTGGAGAATGTGCCGGTGATGACCTCATGCTGACGCCGCCCACGCTACGACCTGAAGGGGGAGGCGGGGGAAGGGGGCCTGTGGAGATAACATCGGAAGCTAATTTCAAAAGCTAACGTTTGAAGCTAACATTGGAGGACACGTTGGAAGCTAACGCTGGAGACAACAAAGGAAGCTAACATTGGAAGCATTAAAAATGAACTGGAATCTAATGTTGACCCTAAATTCAGAAACCAACGTTCATGGCAACGTGATGCTAACGTGATAGTGTCCACAGCAGCCCTATACATTTTTCTGACATCATATGGACTCTGCCAACCTGTGCGCCCTGATGATTGGTTTCGTCCAAATGAAGGTGGCCTCTCATTGGGTGGGGGAGGGAGGGGTCCGGACCGCAGATGGGGAGAAGAGCCACAAGTGCTGGAAAAGAATGGCAACATTACAACACTGATAAGAGGACCCATACACGATTATATTATGAGCAAGAATGACAGGACACCTTTTGCCCTCTCTAAATCAGCTCAACAGATATTCTCATTCGTCAGAATGTGCCATGATTGGCAGTTGGCCAGTCCAGAATGTACTTCGCTTCCCCTCATCAAGTCTTTCCTTAGTCTCAAAAGGAGAATTGAAGTGACAAAACTGTCCGTAGGTGTGAAGAGAAGCGAAAGCTTGTTTGTCTCTATGGCTATGTGGACAAGCACTATGTAGAAAATGGACAGATGTTTGAGTTTTGGCGCACCTGAGTGAAGTGTTTCTTTGGGGTAGACGAGGCGTGCAATGATCCTCCCCGACAGCGGGTGTCGGGGGCAAGGGAGGTGGGCCCGGTCGCCCTGGCGGGAGAGGCGGCGCGCCCCCTCCGGAGCGAGAGGAGATAGAAGATGGTGGTTTGGAATTGACGGCAGGAGGCGGGGGAGGAGGCATGTCACGGGGCATGGACGGCCGGTGCCCTCCAATCGGGGCCGGCGGAGGCGGGGGCCGGTCGTCGGGAAGTGGCGGTCGACCCCCGGGAGTTGGAGGTAAGGGTGGCCTGCTGTTAGTCGGAGGCGGCGGCGGCGAAGAGGCGCTCGGCCTCGAGGAACCACCTGGGGGAGGAGGCAGGGGCCCGTGCCGTCCTGGGGGAAGACTCGGGGGCGGTGGTCCTGATGAAGGGCTCGATCTGGGTCCCGTAGGAAGGGACGGAGGGTGTGGGCCCCCGCGGGGACTGAAGTTCTGGTTGGGTCGAGGCGTGTTGGGGATGGGAGGGGGGACACCCCCTGGAGTGTCTTGCCTTGAGGAGAGATTTGTGCGGTTCTTGGGAAGATCGGGAACCCCACCGCGAACGCCAGATGGCCCACCCGGGAGCTTGGGAGGACCAGTGACATGGCCCCCACCGAAGGGGCTGGGGCTCCCACCGAAGCGACTTGGGGGGAGTGCGGGTCCTCTGTTGGGTCCAGAGTCTGAAGGAGTGAGTGAAACATTAACTCAATACAAAAAGCAATTGTTTTATTATTTATATCTTTTGTTTGATTTGTTTTACCGTTGGAATCTCGGTTAGCTGCAGAGCGCAGTTTTGGCATCCCGCCTGCAAATAGGCCTCCTAAACCAGCAGGAGCACCACCACCAAATCCCCCACCTGAACTTCCACCTCCACCTCCACCTCCACCTGAACCTCCTCCTGAACCGCCACCTCCTCCTCCTTTCGGTTCTGGGATACAAGCAAGTCATAATTTATACTTGTGTTCAGTATATTAATACCTATAATGTACCTATTCTTTATCCTCTGTGAAGAATGATGAATAATACTCCTGTGTATCATATTTAATGTTTATACATCTCTAACATAGCATATTTAATGATTGAATGTTGAATATTTAGATTATATTTAATGACCTGGATACCTTTAATGTCTCAAATTTACATAAATGCCCAATGTCCCATACATATTTCCCGAACATTTAATGCCCTCATGCGGCATATTTCTTACTGTCCAGCAGGGGGCCACTCCGATCATTGGTGACCGCCTTTT